ATCTTTCGTAGAGGCTAATTATACTGCAGCGGAAGCTGATTACGCGTTGACCAAGCATACTCGTATTACGTAGTTCAAACCAGCTGAATGCTGATTGGCTAGCATTTTTCCGTAAGGGAATGGATTCCTCGGTAATGGAATGACAAAGTGTAGTCTATGGGGATGACTTCAGTCTTCAAACCTAAAATCGATACCGATACCTATCTTTGGCTAGGGTGATCGTTGGGCCATAAAAGCTCTTGATTTGTTAATTCTTGTCTCAGCTCAAGCTACAAAACTGTTACTTCAGTTTAAAACCCTATGTTAAAAGTGGCATATTCGCTTTAAACGTTCAATACATCGGACCGAAAAAAGCCACGGTAAGAATGTCTAATTTTGGGTTTTCAGTCGGTCAGTCCGTCCCCCCAGTCAAAAATCCGTGGCGGCGCCCCTGTTTGTAGGTTGTAGGTAAGTTTTAGGTTGGTACCTAGGTTGTAACTTGTAGGTAAGGTTAGGACAGGTCAGGTTAGGTTATGTTTTGTTATGTAATACCTACTATTTGATGAAGACTTCTATAAGGGAAATTTGGGTAAATATCTTAAGAACTGACAAGTCGGCGGTGAACTTTTCACAAAAAGGTCAGGTGGGAGCACCTGAGGACTGAGGTGTAGGGTGTCCCAAGCATACATGGGAAAAACAAAACTATGAAATATTCAAGGGGCTGAAGTTTGCCCCGGTTCCACTACCGGTAAGGAAGACACTGGTCGAGTTTCAGAGGAATCAGAGTATATTTAGAGGTTGCGAGCTTGTGCACTTTTTAACTGAGCAAACCCCATTCCATAATATGTGTAGGTATATACCGATTGAACAAGCATGACAAATCAGGGTATTTAGACAATTTTACAGCAGAAGGTAGCACTGCACTATCTATGAAACACTTTCTTTGTCTATCCATCCTTGATTTTCTTGGGCTGCGCCTGCTGATGGTGATGCACTAGCTGAAGCAGGTATTGCTTCTGCTCTTCTGACTTGGTGGTGGTGTTGTACGGCTAGATAAGCGAGATTCCCCGTTCGGCGGCATCATTGACGATATTAAGAGCCCTTGCTCTATGGCTGACCATGTGATAGGCTGCGTCGTCCTTCCTTAACCCGCGCCCTGCTGGGGGGGGGGTGTTTGAACACCCCCCTTGTGGTTTTTCGCGAATATCTCAAAAACGGCGGCGCGGAGCGCCGCCGTTTTTGGTACACCTTATCATACATCAATTCTACACATGTTGTGAAAATTTCAGACCAAGGTCATTCAAGGTCAGGTCACCAGGTCACTTGAAGTGACCTCACCTCATAAAAACTTTCAATGTCTGTCATAGCTACACCGAGTGACCGATCGATTTGAAACTTTCAGCGATTGCTAAGAGCAATAGCATGTACAAAATGTATATCTCAGAATTTTGATATCGATGACCTAGGGTCAGGTCAATTTTGCGACCTCCCCATTATAAGTCAATGGGAGAAAATTGAAATGCGCCTCTTTTGGATGAAAGACATTATACACACTCCCAAACACCGGATTACAAGTGGTTTAGACACACTGAACTTGAAAATGGTGTCCGTGACCCTTGTTTATGCCCTGAGGTCATCTTAGGTCACGAATGGTATCTAACAGTTTTTCGCAAATAACTTTTGATAGAGGCATGCTAGAGCGATGAAAACGCCTTAGATGTGTTCAGCTCGACGATACGGATCGACTGATATGCAACATGACCCTTTCCGGTCAGGTCATGACCTTGACCTGAGGTCAAATTTTCAAGTTGACCTTTCAAGGTCAAGTTATAGTTCATTCGATGCGTCTTGACGAGAGGAACACGATGCCGGTAAAAGTAAGCTCGTACAAGGCTTGGGTCAAAAGTTATTGCAGAAAAACTGTTTTCGAAAATATTGGCTATTTTTGCAGTTTTTGCCCCCTGCAGGCAAAACCGTTGACCTTAGGTCAAATCTGAGAGAATTACTCAGAAAGGGCGTTAATAGGGCTATCGAATGCGCTTTTCCGCGGCGCTGTAGCTCTATTGGTTCCCGAGTTATGCGTTGGCTTCTTGGAAATTTTCGACATTCGACCTGGAAATCGGCGAAATTTTGCCTTCAATGACCTCTGGTGACCTGACCTTTGACCTGACCAAAAAATTGACCGAAGTGATTTCGTCATTATTTTTTACGCTCTTTCGAACGCCGCCTTCCGCGTATCGCTACGTGGCCCAGGAGCCGAGTTACAAGGGGGGGGGTGTTCAAACACCCCCCCCCCCCCCAGCAGGGCGTGGAAATCCAGGACCCCCAGCAGGGCGCGGGTTAAACTCCTTGGTTTATTTCGCGATGAAACCTGGGTCCACCATTAGAGTCGTCAGCAGGAACATGGATGGACCAGGAGGTTACAAAGTCTTCGAGAGGAATGCCAATGCTGCTTCAACATGGCGGCAATTGGAGATCGTCATATTCCGTCTCAGCCTAGGCAGTACGTAAGAGGGACGACGAGCTGGTCAGAGAAGCAGCCGGCTCCCCGCAGGAGGTGCCGGCAGAAGCAAAGGCCATCACAAGTGCCGGAGCAGGGGCGGCTGCAACTGCTTGACGCATGACATGGCCAGACTCCTTCTTCAAGAGGATCTGGGGAGACCGGATGCCGACCTCCACCTCAGTCTCTGGCGTAAGCAAGGGCTAGGCGGTGGATGCCTATCGGCATCAACTACGTGCTGGATACTGCAGTAGGTATGTCGTACCAGTACATCCACCGGATCGGCCGCCTCCCGGCGCGGACCTGCCCAGTGCCCAGGGTGACCCGACCTGCGGTACTCAGCGGTGAGGTGCGCCGTTTGCAAGGAGACGACACACCTGACCATATCCTGGTCCGGTGTATGTGCCTGGACGATCTTCATCTTAAGTTAACCGGCAACAAAGATGCGACCGAGACGCAGCTGCAGAGAAGGGAAGTGGTCGCGGCCTTTGCCCGCGACTTCAGGCACCATCAGGAGCCTAACGATGGTTACTGGGATGATGCTCGTCGATGGTCGCCTTGCGGACAGTTTGAAGATGAAAATTGTGGCCAACCTCCGGAAACCGCCAAAGAAACAGCTGAAACGACTGGAGGGAAAAAGTGCGAACGATTCTGCCCCGTCTGAATCATGCCATGCATGCGATCCTAGTAGCCATGTTAAAATGCACATAAGAAGAGATAAAAATGTTCATTTGCTCGCAACCTCTAAACGTACTCGGATTCACTTGAAATTTTGTCAGCATCATATCCCAGCCAAGTGGAATGGGGGCAGCCTTCAGCCGGTCAAAAATTAACAAATAAGTTTTTTTGGGACACCCTACTGAGGTGCCTGCTATAATGATTATGATACGGCCTTGAAGTAAGCCAAGGCGGCGGGGGAGGAGTGAGGACCGAGGAATAGGGAGTCTGTTTTGTAAGCATTTTTGTGGGTTTTTATGGATATTCCAAGGTGGAATGTTTGGAAACCATTCCAAATGATGTCTTTTAGCGTTAGTAGCATTTGAAAGCTAATTAGCTACATCGCACATGCTGTCGCATCGCCTATACTTTCACCAAAACCATAATCTATCCTGACCTAACCTTACCTATTAACCTACAACCTACCAACCAGCCACAAGTACACACAATTTGCACTGGCGTAAGCATACATCAAACTCATCAAAGTTGAAGTTTTGCGAGAGTGAAAATCAATTCATCAGAACACGCCCGGCCCCAGTAGTGCCCATTATTGAACATTGATATGTGTGAAACTGAAACAGTCTCAATTTAGATAAAATTGCAATAATACTATTGGTATACTTGAAAAGGTGTTAATAAAAACAAAATTAAAGAATTTCCCCCTTACCTTATCCAAAAAACGTTACCGTCGGCAATAGTGGCGCCGCTGCTACAAAAGCGAATATAAACTGTTCAAGGCTGGATAATATTCAATTAAAAACACTGCTCTATTCCACAGCTAAACAACTGACATCCATGCTGTAAAAAACTCAGTATGCATCCAGACCATGAGCCAAGGGTAGGTATATATTTATCAGAAAATCTGTCACATCAAGTATACATAAATAATTGTGTGTCATTTCGGATACATTTATCAAGGGTTTTCTTAATGATTTACAATTTCTATTATGCCCAACCGTCAACATTATTAATTGTATGACCTATTATTCAGATATATTGCACGGTGCACTCATTTTATGTCCGGATTGATCGCGATTATATTGATTCCATTTGATTCACCGTATGACCTTTCATCAGTCCTATTCCAAATATGGTTACCTTCGATGAGCCCGCCTCAGCCCGGCCTTGAAAGGCAAACAAACGTTTTCGCCTATGATTACGCAGTGCACTACCATAGAAATAAAGATAAAGACGCGCACTTATACGCAGCCATCTGGCTATAAACGTCTGCAGCTCAGCAAATGCGAGGGGAATCGAATGGAAACCGTCGCTATTTTATTTGTCGTATGCGATTTTAATAGCCGTTGTTAATAGGTATGGTGACCTAAGATCATCAGGTAATCTGTGACATTGAAAAGTTCCCTAAACGTTATCGCCGCGGCTGCAGTTAGCAGTAGGCATTTAAGCGATCATATAGCTTATTAGTCAATACCTATCGGGCTGAGTGAGGCGAATTACATCACCATTCGATTCAACGCATGTGATTTCAACAGCCTCTCAAAATAGGTATGGTTATCAATGGCACTGAATTCGTTTATCTCTGTAACCGTGAGCTCCGAACCTCCATGCAATCGGTCCGCTAGTTGCCAAGTTATAGATAAGATCCACGTAGCGCTCGAAATCTTGCGAAATCAATGGACGCTGCCTGGATGAATGCAATGTCTCATAAAGATAAACGACCATTGCTATGGCCTTACTTAGCCAGACATGTATGGTCATTGTTCACTGGTCGGTGACACAATGGTCATTGATTGGTGTCTGGTGACGAAAAGTTAATGAACGAGATAGGACGTTCAAAGATATATTTGAGCTGATATGTATTAGGTAATGTAATGTAGCATTTGTAGCAAGGCAACTAGGTACGCTCATAGTCGAACGTATTCATACAACAGTCAACTAAGCTCTATGACAGGTAGGTATCAATGGTGCCACATCTATCACATTGTGCATCCAATCCAGCTCACATTTTGCACCGTATCATCGATCACATCGGACACTTCTGACTTCTGAGGTCGGTATTGGTCATTGGAATCAGATGTCGATTTTTTAACTATTCACCGTATTAAAAACGATTTTTTAACTATTCATTGGTTAGCATTCCTACAGGCATGACATTCACTATCATTTTCGCATCGGACGGTCACAATTCACAGTTCATCATGACCGTCTTTCGACGAACTCCAACGTTGCGCGTTCCATGGCTCCTTCAGAGGAAGGCTCTCCCAGAACCGGACACGCTCTTCGGCGAACTTCTCGGCAAGCGCCGGGGCAGCGTTCAGCCGGAGGTAGGTCCCGCTCTGGGAGGTGTAGATGGGCCAGTCCTCTACTCCCAGCTCAGGAGCTGAGGGGTAGCCGCGCTGGGCAAAGCTCGTCCACAGCCGTACGAACAGCCGCACGAGCGCGTACTCGGGCGATCCTGGCTCCGGACGACGCTGGAGAGCCGCGCGGAAGAGGTAGGCCATGTCGTCTCCGTGAGAGACGAGAGGCAGAGGAGGCGCCTCGACACCGATCATGTCGGCGAAGCGCATCTGGCCGGGGCCGATATGGTCCACCAGGTACTGGTAGACGGGGACAAGTTCGGAAGCCAGCGACAGCTCGGCACTCATGCCCAGTGTGAAGAAACGGTCGCTGAAGAACTTGATGAGTGCCGCGGTGGGGTTGCCTCCCTTACTCAGGACGAAGTCGCGGATCTTCTCGGCCACTTCAAGAGGAGCGCCGTTGACGGTCTTAGATGAAAGGCCTTCTCCGCAAAGGAACGATGCGGACGACCATGCCTCTAAGTCTCCCTTGAGTGCGCGAGCAAGAACCTCAGAGTCACGGTGAAGGAAGCCGGCGACGAAGAGACCCTCGTCCTGCGTGGAACCCATCATCCAAGGCACCCTGTTGAAGCGACCACTCTTCAGCAGGCGGTTAGGCTGATCGGGCACGAACGGTTCCTTCGCATCGGCGTCGACACGAGGATGAAACTGCAGCGCCAGGCCGCCAGCGTCAAAACCAACACTAGCCACCACCTTCATGATGTCATCGGCAGGTTTCTGACGGAGGCACTCCAGCGCGGCGGCACCGCTCTCGGGGCAGCCAAGTCCTGTGGTAAGCACCGCCAACTCTTCATGCTGGTCTCCCGCCAGACACCAGCAAGAGCTGGCAGACCCCGACTGACTGATGGCCCGGTGGAACAGGCCTTTTGTAAGAGGACTGGCCACCAGAAGCGAGACACTGGCACCTCCTGCAGATTCCCCGAAGATAGTGACGAGTTCTGGGTCACCTCCGAAAGCCGCGATGTTATCACGCACCCACTGAAGCGCCAGAGCTTGGTCACGAAGACCCAGGTTGCCGGTGGCGAAGCCATCCTCGGTCGTGATGAAGCCGAAGACGCCCAAGCGGTAGTTGAAAGTCACCACGACGACATCCTCGTCCAGAAGATAATCGACGCCGAAGATGTCGTCGTCGCCAGATCCGCTGATGAAGCCACCACCGTGCACCCAGACCATAACCGGAAGACCTTTCTCTTCTTTTGACTCCGGCAGGCGAGGCGAATACACATTCAGGAACAAACAATCCTCCTGACCCAGCTTGGAGAAGTTGTGCATCATGCTGTACTGCAGGCAGTTGTTTCCATGCGCCGAGGCATCTCGTTCGCCGGTCCAGGGGCGGTGCAGCTGCGGCGGCTCGAATCTCAGAGCACCCACTGGTGGCTCGGCGTACGGGATGCCCTTGAACGCTGCGTAGTAACGTCCAGAGAGTGAACGCTGTTTCAGACCACGCAGCGAACCTGACTCGACGGTCACCAGCGGGCGGGCATCCTGGGATGCCGCCGCTACGGTCGCCAACACAAGCAGACAGATCGCGCGCGTCACACACATCCTGTCCGTGGCGAGGTCCCGAAGGGAGTGCCGACTGTCGAGCCCCGCCCGCTGCCGGCCGACGGCTGTATCTTGGCACTCTCAACAGTCAGAGGCGCGCTCAGTTGACGGGCGTGTGGCGCTCAGCGGGCAAGAAGCAGATAGCGCTTAATGTTTAGATATAACGCGACTGCTGATCCTAACCCCAATAGAGCGCCCGTGGAAGTAACGAAGTTGCGGATGAAAAGTCAAACCGTCTAAAGTAAACAATTCGTAAGCAGACGTTTAGCGTAAATTGTAAAATAAATGGATATCGCGAAAAGATGGAAGACAAAATGTTATGATATCTTTTTCTGAGTTTCTAGACGGAAAGCTGTATAGTTGGATACAAATATACCTATCTAAATATTACATATGTATAAGAATTATATATGAATTATGTATAGGAAGCAATAGAATAATAATGATTACTCAGAGGACGGGAACACTGAAGACGGAAGAAGACGTTCCGTCTGACTGTAACATCGAATTCTCCCCATCAAAATGGAAATATACGTACTTAAATGTCACCCGTCATCCGATATCATCCATCAAATTGATATAAATTGGGCTGTAACTAATTAAGACGTTTTAAGCCTGAGCCCGTCGGCTTTACACCACGGGATATTAAATGCCTTGCTGGTCCGGTTGTGGCAGTCCCCGACGCCGATAATGAATTCAACTTTGCCTCAAGTTTAGATAGTACTAGTAGATCGATAAAGTCACACAAAATGTAAGTTCAACGTGCGATTTATGCTATGCTTAAAATGACGTCGAAATGTGACAGCAACATTGCGCCCTCTTCTCTCTGCATCTTATATGTTTCCATTTTAGCTTGACCTACCTAATGTAATGTCCATCGATTTTGTCTGCAGGACTTACGTTGTACGTTTACAAATTTTATTCCATTTTAAACGTGTGACTGTTTTTATATTCATTGTAACTCCGTGCTGAACTATAAATCTTCGATGTATCTGGGTGATTTTTTTCATTTCTCACTTCGGCTAATGAACTTTTCATCGCGTATGTCCGATATTAGGTAGGTAATGCCCGGTGCAGTGCACGCTATCACTGATCCGACTTGATCCGTGAATCATCCGGTGTGATCTCTGGTTCCACTGCCGTTTATTTCACTCGAACGTTCAATTCCATGACCGTAGGAGCGCTCGCCGCCCGAGAAGCGAGCCGTCTATGTCTTCTGTCATCCCCCCACCTGGGAACGCCACTGCTCGAGAGGCCCCTAAGAGGCGCCCTGCCCATCGCAGGCGGTTTTGGAGAGTCATCATGTCGCCGCGCCGACTAGCTGATATACGGTCGTACTCGTCTACACATGGCGATCATAAGCTATGTGATAAGGGGAGAGGGAATGAACGGAAGGAAAGATTTCGTCGCCCTCCTTTTTATTTATCATTTTGCTGTTATTGGAACGGCGTAACACTTAACGGCTTCTTCGCATTTATGATCGAAACGGACTACCGGCGCATTTATGATCGAAACGGACTACCGGCGCATTTATGATCGAGGACAGTTGCTTGCCAGCGTGACTTTGTCCGTTTCGTTTATTTATAGGCATAGGTGGCCCTTTCCACTCTAACATTGCATCAGCTTTATCTTATTACTTATTTAGGAGTTAGGACCTACTAGGTACCTATTACATCAACCATGTCGTCAATCATCTGCCACTTGGCTTACAGGAACATAAGTCCGCTATTATCAGCGGCGAGACCGCCACTGCCATCCTGTGATCTGATCTGTGTACACAATGATCGTCGGATAACTTCTGAATGCTTGTGTATCCTATCGTTTGGTCGGTCCAAAGGTTACATGTACCGACTCGGCGATAGGGTAGCGCGGCTACGTCCCGTCATATTTAGGTATAAACGGTCGGGGTGAGTTTACTGTAAGTTGTCGCGTAATCATTTCTGGCGACGGTGGCTAGTGAGCGCGTATTCCGGGCTGCGCCCGGGTGGCACTTTACGTCCTAAGTCACTTTACGTCCTAAGTAGTAAGTGAGCGGCGATGTTAAGCGCGCGATTGTGAACTAGACAGCCCACTTAACCCCAAGATTACTTTACTAATATAACGCCGCCTGCACATATCACAGGAAAATTACTTTACAAACTAGAATTACCTAATCTGGAAGCAATGTATAAAACATTTACTGCGCAACAGTTTCATTTAATTTATGCTTACGAAAGTAAACGTGCGCGGCGTATTCTGTCAGCGAGAAGGTGATTGGTCAGAATGTGCTTGGTCAGAGTCTCTTGATTGACGGAGAAGCGAGTGGGTTGCATTTCGGTAAATGGTTGGTAAGCATAATCCTTTCCTTCCCATCCCGCAAATAATCTCACCGATAATCTGTGAGGAACGTCATTTACCAGTCCATTTCTCTCGGGATCTCCTTCCTGAAAGCGAGAGAAGCTGTCGGACTCGGCACAGCAAACTGAGGCAATTGTGGCGCGGCACATGAGGATTGTATTGCATGTGTTAAGTGGGAGAAGGAAGACGCCTACCTATCATTCAAGGTAAAGGTGTAAAAAAAAAACCCTGTATATAACAGCACGTGTCTGTGTGCATGCAGGCGCCTTGCAAGCTGATGTGGGTGTGAGGTGGATGTGCATCGGGCCTCGGAGCATGCTGCATGCGAATTGCTAGGCAAGTTGCTTGCGGGCTTGGCTTGAGGAAAAATCGGGGCTGTGAACATAGCTTTGAATCTTGATCTTGATTATACACACAACTATAAACACGAAATGGGGCCAGGAATCTCACCGACAAATAGCAGGAAAACACCTACAACAAGACAGATCGCGGACAAAGGGAAAGGTAAGAGAGATGCAGAGAGGGCGGAGAAGGGAAAAATGGCCAGGGCAGAAGACAAAGAAAGACGAGTAGTAATGAGCAAGAAAATGGAAACAGAGAAAGCCATTGGAAAACTAGACAACAGTGTCTTTGAGGCTTTTGAACCAGCACACAGATCATCAGTTGACCTGAGTAAGGAGGCAATATGCAAGGGAGGGCCTGGGCACAAATGTGGTCTTCCAGTTGGCTACGAAGATGAGGGAGTGGAATGTGACCTTTGTCATCGTTGGTTCCACGCAGCATGTCAGGAGATACATACGGAAGCATACAAAGCACTCCAGGAACACCCTGACACACTGGCATGGATGTGCAAAGCCTGCAGAAACGAGTTAAAGAACAGGAAGTATCCACACTCAGAAACTGAGTACAGCAAGTTGGAAGCCAAAATCGATCAGTTGGCAGAGGCGCTAAAAGACCAAACAAGAATAATAAGGAAGTCAGCAATCGAAAATGAACAAGCCATTAGAGAAGTAGGAGAGTTTCAAGGGCGCAATATTTCCACATTGCAAGAGCAGAACGAAGCAATGATACAGTGTGTAGAGGAAATGAAGAGCAGGGAAACGGAGAAGAAGACGGAGATCAGGAAGACGTATGCAGATGTCACAAAAGTGGTAGAAGAAATAAAAGAACAACAAGAAGTCATCAAGGGTAACTCTGAAGGTATCAAAAGAGTGATACAGAACAAAGAGTTGGAAGAAAGGGCAACAAATGTGCTGATACACAATCTCCCAGAGAGTAAAGCAGAGAAAGGAGAAGACAAAAAACAGGAAGACATAGTGAAGTTCAAAGAAATAGCAGATGCTCTGGGAGTGCGAGACTTTGAAATTCAGAAGATTGTCAGATTGAGGCAAAAACCTACAACGGAGAAAGGAGATGAAAGAAACGCAAATCAGAACCAGAAAACGAAACCAAGAATACTCCTGCTGAAGCTGAGATCAAAGGAGCACGTGGAGCTTCTGTACAAAAGGAGGTTTGATCTCAAGAGCAAAGGCATAGAAAATACCTACATTACAAGGGACCTACCTCCCGAAGAAAGGGAGAAGCAGAGAAGACTGAGAGAGGAGTGGCTCAAGAAAGGGCGAGAAACCCATGTCATTTCTCGGGGGAGGGTTGTCGAAAGGAAGGGAAACAAAGTAACACAGTAAGAAAGAAAGAAAGCAAGGATGGAAGGTACAGGAAACAAACAACAAACAAGGGGTCGAAGACCGACAACCAAGAAAGTAGAAAGGTTTACAAATTGAATCTCATTAACATACAAGGATTAACAAAGCAAAAGCTGGCAGAACTAGAAGAATTGTTAGCCTACAGTTGTGACATCTTATGTATTACTGAGACCCACCAGAGATATGATAAACTTGAGATTGACAAGAACTTGATCAAGATAGAGAGCATGAGAAAACAAAAAGACAAGAAAGGAGGAGGGCTCATGTTTTTGTATAAACAAAACAGTGGTGTCGCTTTAAGTAAAGCCCCTTCAGAGAACGAAGATGTTTTGGAAGTGAGGGGAAGTATATTGAACAAACAGGTTAGGATAATACTTGTTTACATGTCAGTTGAAACAAAACCAGAAGACAAAACACGAAATGAGAAAATCAAACAAGAGCTTGAAGAGAAGCTAGAAGAAAGTCCAGACATGGCAACAATGTTGTTGGGGGATTTTAATGGACATGTAGGGTTCCTAGGAAGCCAAAAAGAGAATAGGAACGGAAAATTTGTCATTGATGTGATAAACAAAAACAATATGATTTTACTGAATGGTGATGACATATGTGAAGGCTTGTATACATGGGGAAGTAAAGAATACAGAAGTGTTATTGACTATGTGCTGGTCAACAGCAAGATGCATCAGTCTATCCTTAAGATGAAAATTGATGAAAGTCAAGAACTACTAGATCTATCAGATCACAACATGATCACAGTGTTTTTCAAAGATGAAAAGTCACTGAGTCTCAATAAAGCTAAATGGAAAGATGAATACTTCTTTAAGACAGACCAAGAATCATTGTCGGGCTTCGTGCAATAGGTACTACAGAGAATAGAAGCTGATAACATATGCCTAATGGAAGATCTCAATGTGATAATGAAGGATGTGGCAGAGAAATTGCTTACAAGAAGGTACAGAAGAAAAACTGACAGAAAGAATGAAAAAATCAAAGAAAAACCATGGATGACCGAAGAAATACGGAAACAAATCAAGCAAAGGAAAGCCTTCAACAGACTCAGGAGAAATGCAAAGTCAGAAGAAGAAAAGAGCAGATTATATGAAAAATATTATGAGCAGAAACGACTGACAAAGCTACTCATCAAGGAAGAAATAGCAAAGCATGAAAAGAAAGTGACTGACGAAATACGTTATAGTAGCTACAAAAGCAAGGCACTTTGGGAGAATATCAACAAGCTTAAAGGAAAGCAAAAGGATAACAGTCCAGTTCGCCTATTCACAGAAGCTGGACAAATGCTGCAAGGAGAAGAAGAAAAGGAAAACTTAGCAAGTGTCTGGAAGAAAATCTATCAAAGACATGAAAACAAGTTAGAAGAAGTGTGGAACGATAGGGCGAAGCTAACCTATACTGCAGATCTGGAGAAAGAGAAACAGGACCAGATACAAATAAAAGGATATAGTTTCCCAATCACACTGAGAGAACATATGGATATGGCCATGAACAGTAGGAAGAGGATGAAGAAGATGGAAGATATACAAATAACTGAGGAAGAAGTCACCAAATGTATAGGCAGGCTCAAGAACAAGTCAGCGGCAGGACCAGATGAACTCAAGCCAGAACTATACAAAGCTTTGATAAAAAATGACAAATGCTTGAAGATACTGACAGGCTGCTACCAAGAAGTCCTCGAGAGAAGTGACACGCCATCAGAATGGAAGATATCAAGGACGAAAATGATACCAAAGACGTCTAAGCCAACTGCCAAAGACTTGAGACCAATTGCTTTAACGAATGTGTCATATAAGATCTACATGTCAATTCTAAAACAGCGACTAGAAGATCATCTAGAAAGCGCAGAGCAAAAGTTAGAGACACAAGCAGGGTTTACGAGAGGAGGAAGGATAGAGGACAACCTTTTCCTATTACAGTACTGTGTGGAAGAAAGCTTTAAAATGAAGGCACCTCTGATTGTTACTTCAATTGATTACAGCAAGGCGTTTGATTCCATCGATAGAGCTAGGATGGTAGAGGTGCTCATGAAATACAAGATTCACCCCAAAATGATTGATGCTGTGGCAGCCACATACCAAGGAGACAGAACCTGGATTGAACTAAATGAGAACATTAAGTTAGAGATTTTAGTAACAAGTGGTATACGGCAAGGGTGTACAGGATCAACTGCCTTCTTCAAGCTCATGACTTATATCATCACAAAAGTAATGGAGGCAACAGAAGCAGGGTTCAGAAGCTGCAAATTTACGCTGCCAATCCTATTCTTTGCTGACGACGGGCTCCTACTGAACCATTCTATTGAAGAAACAGAGACTAGCATCAGAAGACTGACAGCAATTAGCAAGGAGTGTGGACTGGACATAAACAAGAATAAGAGCAACATTATCACATTTAATCTGAAAGAACAGCACAGAAGCATAGAAGATATTGAAGTAAAAGAAAACATAAAATACTTAGGTCTGAAAGTAACAAATACAAGGGATGTGTTCAAAGGGCAGAAAAGAATCATGATTGAAAAGGCACAAAGAATGGCAAACATGACCTATTCAGTAATTTCAAAATCATGCAACAGACTGCTGATTGGTAAGACCTACTGGAAATCCCTAGCACTGCCATCAATACTGTACGGCTCCAGTGTCATGACAGTCACAGAGGAAGAGACCAAGAAGCTGCAAGTAATCGAAAATGGTGTCTACAGACAGATCTTGGGGGCTCCAAAATATGCACCAAATGCTGCATTGAGAGGAGAAATTGGAGCATCTCTGATGACAACAAGGATTAAAACTGGAAGACTTCAGTACATGAGAAGCATATTGCAAGGAAAAAATCAACTACTCAAAGAGGTGTTAACAGAAATGATGGACGAGGGCAAGAACAAATGGATAAAGGTAACCTATTCCATTATTAAGGAAGTCGGACTCAAAGTAAAGGATTTGTACCAGATAAGCAAACAAGACCTTAAAACACACATGCAAAAATGGGATGGAAAGAAATGGAAGGAGGAATTGTTAACTAAAACTACTCTGTCCCTGTATATTGTCTGGAAAAAGGAGATGAAGGAAGTAACGTTTATTGACAACCAGCAAGCATCAACAATATTTTTCCAGGCAAGAGCAAACTGTCTTCCTCTAAATGAGCGCAAGAGATACAAGAAAGAGGACACAAGATGTATGATGTGCAATGCAGAAAATGAAGACCTCGCCCACTTTATATTGAATTGCCCAGCCTACGAAGAAGAAAGAAAAGAATCAATGCATCTTCAGAAACCCTATGCAAAGGATATTTTTGGGGATATTTCTGTTTGAGGAGGAAGATATCGAAGAAAAGAAAGAAGTATTGCTTAAGCTGTGGAAGAAAAGAAGACTGCTGGAAATAAAACAAAGTTCCCCATCCTAGTTGACCTTCATCCTCCCAACACCCAATCCTGTCCCCTAGTGAGAATCCTAGCCACACAAACCAACCATAACAATGCAACCCATCGATCAAAGTAAAAGTTAAAGTTTAAGAAATCAAGGAGGTGCCGATACAAAGGCTAAACCTCCGAAAACCATCGCATCGCATCGCATGTGCGTGACTGTCCGGCATCCTGTTCACTGACTGTCTATTAGAATACGATCGGAGGTCCCCCTCGGACACAGCGTGCCACAGCGTGCTATATTTGCCAATTCTATACTAGATGCCAATTCTATAGACAGTGTTTTTATATACCTTGAGATGGCCTTGCAGTGCTCTTATTTATTATGATGGCCTTGTTTATTATCAATTAGGATCTACCCTTGGGGCGTTCCACGACAGATCGACCAAAAAAATCGCGAAATAACACCCTACCTCTCATATTTTGATGAAATTTCGTCTATGGGGTTATCTTGTCCGGCGATTCGTGTTGTGACATTTTCAATCTCATTCGTCCAATACTTTGGGAGATATTGCCCCAGGCAACTTAATGGCTACTATAAAAACTCTAAGTTTCATCCGCAAATATTTAGCTAAATACTGATTAGATTCATATAAAACTGCATATCATCACAATAAGAATTAACCAAAGATTTTGGTGATATCAATTATTTTTGAAAATTTTGCTCTTTTAATTTTTTAACATAAAATTGATTTATAAAAATCAAATTTTGAGAACGTGGCCATCTTTTTTTAAAATTTATTTTTGCAACAAAAGTCTTGTCAACGCATTGACTTTCAATGATGAAAATATTAAAAACATGTTTTTCCCCTAAAGGTCGCTATACAACATTGAATTTCGTCGTACAGTGAAAAAAAATAACAATAACTGTCAACCGGTCTAAACGGAGTACGGTGAAATGTGATCAAGAGCTCATTGCGACGCTGTTAATTCTTTTTAAAGATGCTTAAGACACCTACGAAAGCTAAGCTAGGACCCAAAGATCCAAAAACGTCATAATGGCGTATTGTTTTCAAGAGAGCGAGGTTTAACCCCCTGTGGCCGAGGGAGCGAATGCTAATCACCTTTGACGGTTTTCTCATCACTGCTGGGGACGCATTGGCGATAGAGTGCTGAAGCCGGAAAGTTATTACAAGTTATCTAGTTGATTTATCTTGTGACATCAAATGAACTTTCATATAAGGTCACTTTACTGAACTATGACGTCACGTAAGTGAGCCTATCTAATGCTTAAAAATGTTACTATTGCGAAACGCCAAACAATAGTTTACGGAGAGAACGTATGTAATTCACGCATTCTTTGCAAGGTCCGATGCTTTAGTTTTGCTGGTGGGCCTTGCATGACGTCATAATGACGCAACGTCATTTATGACGTCACTAACGCTGATTGAGTCGAGAGTTTTTCGTTAATAGATTCCTAACAAAATGACGACATTGAGGGGAGGGACATCAATGTACTGAGAATGAGCTGTCGAATCGACAGATACTTTTGCCGTAGGTCGGTATTATCTCAATTGACCAGTTTCGGGACCTGAAATATTTTGCCAGATACCGAAATGACGGTTCTGCGACCATTTAAGGGATTTATTGACCGAAAATTGGATCCCTGCCTCAAGGCATATGACCTCACCTCAGAGGTTACCGGTTGCCGGAATGATAAAACTTGGTTTGGAAGAGGTCAGCTTAAGATGTTTTCCTCAGGTCGAGGCCACATCAAAACCGCTGAGGTCAAGAAGCTGTTCAAATGAGGCCATTTCAGCCGTTTTCACGACGGATATCAGACGAATCTAGCCAAATCTTTTACTACAGCTATTTTCATAACGTAATTTTATTCTTATGCTTGAGTAAAAAGTAACGACTGATAATTTGATAAATAAGGTCAATAAGCAACTAGCGCAACCTAAGCTAAAAACAATTAAGAATCAACTATGAACCAAATTTGACCAAATCCCAACAAATATCAGTTAATGTGTGTCAGATAACCGTCGTGAAAACGGCTATTGTAAGTATATGATTCAGTTCAGCAGGGTTCCCTGAGTTCACTGGTGGCTTGTTCGACTCGTTAGATAAATTCCATTCAGTCATTGACAAAAAGAAAACCGATGACCTCACACGACCGTACAATGTAACGGCATATACGGCGCATTGCAAGGTCCTCAATCCAAAACCTAAGAATCGCTCATCGCAAAAGTGTATGAAATCACGATTACAGGCGTTTGAGATGGGCTTGGATCATTTTCGGCATCCAAATAACAGTTCAAATGTTTCAATATTTCCCATTGACTTATATTAGTGAAGTCACGTGACCAGCTTGACTTCGGGTGAAAATTTAGGAAAGTTAGGGGAATTGATGTTGTGAAATCTGAAGAGCCGTTACTGCCGTTACTTGTGTCATCCCCTGCAAAAGGTTCCCTTACACTGAGAGTACAGTGCAAAGCTGCAACTTTTTGCATTATTCCGAGGTTTATTTGTGACGTCGTATGTCAGTAAGCTGACCTGAGCCTGTTCTGTTGGTGTCAACAGATTCGGAATGTCAACTTTCAGCTCTCCAGCCTTACACCACTGCAAACAATATCGAGAAAACCGTTGGGGCTGCACATCAAACCCTCCCCTTCGGCCGGGTGGGAATAAAAATACTATGAAAGTGAATGTTAGTGAAACATGGAGCATCCCAAGCCACTAGCTACCTCGAAATGCATTAATTTCAAAACGTTAGAGATGCTTCCAGTTTCAAGAAAACAGAATTCAATATCGGCGAGTTTTCAAGTACTTACAATTTTGTCACCCCCGCCCACTCTGACCTGGTCACGCCCCTGGCAATTGCAATCAATTACCTTCAAATGCCGCATTTTGGTACTCATATAATTTTTTGTGGCAAATTTATTCATCAAAATTACTGAAAGTCCGTTATTACAAGGACAGAGCGAACATCATGCGATTACTAGCTAGAGCCTTCTCCTCATTTAACTCTAACACAGCCTCGGCTCTTATGAACGGAAGTTGTGTAGGTATGTCCGCCGTCCGGCCACAATGTCCGATTAGCAATTTTGATAATTCCTAACGTTTCATTGGCGGATCGAGCTGGACGTTTTTTTTTTTTTTGGGGGGGGGGGCAAATGGCCGAAATGGCCCCTTCCTTTCCATGCACCGCCATAGGCGCAATGTTAAAACTCGGGTTTTTGCGGGGGGGGGGGGGTAAACGGGCTTTGGGGGGAGCATGGCCCTACCCCCTGGATCCGCCAGTGTAACGTTTCACCAGTGCAAGCTGCTTAGAAGCATATCAGAATTACATGCGAGGCGGCCGATATCAGTGTTCAGCTCATTTTTTTTTTGCCTGAACAATGTTCGAAACTACAGCGAAAGTGAAGCAAACATCATTCAATAATCACATGCCTGGTCTGTGAGTGTGAGTGCCAGGCTTTTATTTCTAATTTTCATGAAACAGTTCGAGGATATGTGGGTAGGAGAATGATTGGCTCTGGAAGGCATCACCAAATGTTCCCTTTTGCTACAAACATTGTCGTAAACAAAAAATTATATAAAAAGTTAAAGGCAAAACATGTCTCTAATTTTTTGGACATTAAATTTCCATATCCAGAGGCATCTTTTGGCATAATATTTTTGTCAAAAATTAAATGGCCACCTTTTGAAAATCGAAAATCAAAAATTCATTATTTCAAAAAATCTTGCGATTTTGAAAATTTTCAAAATATTTTGGTTGGATAATTTTCTACTGTCAATGAGGATTCCAATGATATGCATATTAATGTAGGTTACTGGCTATATTTTTTGATAATACGAGTTTAAAAGAGGGTTACTCTGGGCATTTTGAAAAATGCCTCTGGCTATAACTCGTAAACCCTTCGTAGTATAACGCTAAAAATAAGAGATTATGAATCTACGGTACGGATAACCCCGTAGACGCAATTTCATCAAAATCTGAGAGGTAGGGTGTTATGGCTTGGTCGATCTGTCGTGGAACGCCCCCCTTGTAAGTGAGAGGTGGGCTCGGTAATTTTCAAATAAACTGGCTCATTTTTAGCTGCTTTGCTGGTACGCTTAGGTATTTTACGTAAAATTCGGCCGCTCCCCTGCGTTTCATTTCCACTTTCTAGGTTTTGTGCGTTGGGCGGGGGACACATGGTGGATATGCTGTCCAAAATTCTTACAGATTACAGGTGCCGTCCTGCCACAGTTCAGGACGACAGTTTCACATTTCCTACTCCTTAGCAAGATTCTTACAGATACCTACTCCTTATAATACTCCTGTCTCTTAGCTTGAGGCTGAAACAAACTTTCATCAGTTGGGAAATTGCAAATGAGAGCCTTTTTGAATGCACTAAATCGCACATCAATTGAAACACAGATGAGAGCACATTTTAAGGCATTTGAATAGCCTGTCTTATAGCTTAGTTGGTATAGCATTGGAATCCCGGTACTAAGAGCATGGGCGTCGAAACCGGGGGGGACGGGGGGGACGCGTCCCCCCAGTCGAGGAATCCGGGGGGACGTCCCCCGCAAAAATATCCTCATGAATGATTAAAAAAGTGATCAACGAAATTGGTGTATTGTCGTTTTGGGATGAAATTGCGGATATCTACTCGTATACAAATTGAATCATGCGAATTGCTGACACTGCCCTTGCTTGCAGGGCTGCGGAGTAGATTGATTTTGGTAACTCTGACTCCGGCTTTTAAAAAATCGCTCGGAGTCCCCACCCCATCTCCGATCACGGCATCCCTCGGCCCGCATCGGAGTGAAAAACATGTGATGTGATGCTTTTGTCTCTTTGAACATTTCTTGGCACGTTAAAAGATAACATTACCTACGAAGTGCAGCTCTGGACTGTCCGTCCCAGGTCCTCGATAGGGAGCCAAAGCTCCAGTTGTAGGGGCGACCATATTTAACAAGGGCTGAAGATATGTCCCAAAGTCTCAGAGTGGGACAACAGCTTGCAAAGACCACACATTTTATGTAGGATATTCGTAATAGTCAAGACCTTCAGCTCACTCTCAAACGGCCCTCTTCCCGTTCGAGGCCATCCGACAGCAGAAGGTCTCACCATGGCCTTTGAACGCCTATGCTTGAGGGTGAGAGGACCTCGTCCTGGTCTGAGAGAGCCCAGGAGGACGTAATGCTCAGTATGCCCCTACATTGGTCTTACCATGACCCCTACAATCACCACAGCCAACAGAATCTCCAGCTCTTATTCGACCCATCCTCGGGGATGACGTTGACTCTGACTTCAGGGTTGAAGTCTGGTACGACTTTGGTGACTCCAACTCCGTATCCGACCAAAACCGTCGACTACGACCGAAGTCGACTCCGACCCCGCGGTCCTGCAGCTACACTGCACAGAGTTTCCAACTTCTTGGAAATAAGCTGTACCTATGGTTGACAGAGGACCACACGATTTTTTAGAGGCAGGGCTGCTGGACTTGGTGACCAGATCCTAACTGTCCTGGTGTCAAACTTATTACTCGGGATGCAAAATTTATGCGTTTTGGGACTGTTTTGCCAAGAGTTTTTGCCAATTTTCGCGGCGCTTCGCGCCGCCAATTCATGCACAGATAGAAAAGAGTGTGACTAATAACGCCTCCACGCGAGAACATGAGAACATGTGTATTGTGTATGCGTTATAAGTAGTGCATAGGCCTGAAATTGTACGGTAACTAACTTTTGGGTTTTTAGTCAGCCAATCCGTCCCCCCCAGTCAAAAATCCGTGGCGACGCCCCTGACTAAGAGCGTAGGTATGCTTTAGCTGCTCTGGTGCTCTTTATTTGAAACTCCTGGCGTGGATGGTTTGCTGTTGGTGGGAGCAGCCACAGCAAGTTGAAATCAGCTCAGCTGAGTCAGAGTGGGATAGGCTGTGTCTGGCTTTGGCTTTGAAGGGCACCTTAAACTTTGGTGTCAAATTTCTCCTGTTACGGAATTGCGAGATCAACTGCTAGGGGTTGGGGTCTACGCTACAAGCTTTGTGTAGCATAGGCCCAGGCTCTGTCAATCCTATCAAAACATTTGAACTTAATTAACGAAAAGGAACTAAGCACTGTGCAGTGTGCATTGCCCTCAAAACTTTGTCATTGCCAATAGTCATTTATCATGGGTCTTTTTCTGTTTTGCTTACCCAAAATCCCAAGACACTTTATCTCAAATTGATGAATGCTGCCATTTCCTCCATATCATCTGCACATTGCATGGTGCACATAATTGCTGTCTGTTCTACCACAAATCCATGCCTAGTTCTTGTATGATACAATGCCAATGAGATGTGTACAATATTTGGATGACTTTTTATGAGAGTTGACCATCTATTTCCCCACTTTCCTCAGCTTCGCCTCCACCTGGCCGGCTCATCTCCATCTGATGGCCTCGGCCTCCAGCAGCAGCGCCCGCTCTCTGTTCGCCGAATCGCGCACCAAGCTAGTCGAACGGGTGGCGGGGAACGTGGAGGCCTGTGGGTCCGTGTGTCGACAGGTGGTGCGAGGCTCCAGGTCTCACGAGACACTGCTGGCGGCAGCGCGCGCCACTGCTGCTCAGGTTAGTGTGCTAGACAAGGCCCCCTCTAGCTGGGGCAGAGATGTGTTGGAACGCTAGTATCCCGTTGACTGAACCGAAAATGTTTTAGGGAGTTAGGAGATTTCCTTCAATAGTAAATTTTATACAGACATCACGCTTATTTCATTGTGGTATTTGGGACACAATATTCAGAGCAATACATAGTTATGCACTTGAGGACATGTATGACCCTCTTTGTATCGCCAGTCGTTCTTTCGTATGAGCTTTTGTGTGACTCCCCGCTCTGTTCAGAACTAACCGGGTGTCTCTTTCTGCAGGAGTCAGCCATCGACCACACGTGCGGAACAGTTCAGAAGTTACGCATTCTCGCCACTCACTTGGGCTACCAGTGGGAGTCGATCGCTCGCTCCGCTCACCAGATTCCGCCGCTGGCTGAGCAGGCGAGGGCACTCCCGCCGCCCAACTGAGGAGTGAGGGCACTCCCACCACCCAACTGAGCAGGCGAGGGCACTCCCGCCACCCAACTGAGCAGGCGAGGGCACTCCCACCGCCAAACTGAGCAAGACGAGCCTTTACGACCGGACAGACACGGTTAGAGCCGGTAAGAGATAATAATGGATTATCCATCATTAATTGTGTTACTGGTTTGTCATTGTTGAATGCAATCAGTTGAACTGAACAGCGAGCAATCTCAGAAATACCCCTGCTGGCCTTTTTCTTCTGCGGTTGGGTCTCCACAAGCCAGATACTGTTTTCAGCGTTGATATTACATTTCCGCTAGTGACATATCGTTTTGATGCTCTATAACTTGTTTTCTCAACCGATGCCATCACACACACGATTCTGCTTCCACAGCTCCCGATACCGTTTTACAGGTGTTATCGTTACCACAGGACGTAGTACCGTTTCCACAGACCACAACTGATGCTATTTCCACAGCTGACACTGCTTACTCCGCCAATGCTGTTCTTAGCCGCTACTCTTCCCAAAGCTGATATCATTCCCACAACCTGCTACCACAACCTGTGTGTTACCATTTTGTCACCTGTCCCGTTTCTATATGTGTTGCCATCCGCACCGGTGTCACCATTTACACAACCGATACCGTTTCCACAGCTCTTCACACCACAATGCAGCTAACTGTCGAGTTCAGCGGCGGTGCTGAACTCCTCTTCGGGAACGTCAAACAGCACAGAGTAACTCTTCCAGACCGGGGCGACGGAGACTCGGTGTGGACGATGGAGGGCCTGCTGCCCTGGCTGAGGGATAACTTGCTGAAGGAGCGGCCAGAGCTCTTCATGCAGGTGAGGCTTGGGAAGGGATGAACTATGAACATGCTGTCAGTGCTGCATTGCTGTCGACAAAAATACTACCCCGAAATTAGTTAAACTAGCTTGGTGAGGTTGGGCACTTGGCCCAATCTCACCAAGTTATGTAAACTTAATTTTGGGACAGTATTTTTGTAGTTACGGAGTGGGGTAGTTTGGTATTTTACCCCAAATTGAGTTTACCGCACTTGGTGAGATTGGGCCGGGTAGTGTCTTTTAGCATCATGGGTCAGGGAGTGCAGAAAATAGAATAGTTATACAAGTTACCTAGCCGCAGGTTAGGGGCCAAGCCAGGCTAGAATATAGCTATAGGTAGTGAAGCCAATATGTTGTCTGGTTGATAACAAGTGCAATCGTCCTTTGCCGGTAGCGAATCTGCAGTTGCTGTAGAAACAATAATAGTATTTTGGTTGGAGTTTTCAGTGTCGTAACACGTGCGTGCGCTTATTGCACCGCTGCCTGGTTGCAGCAGTCAGCCATAGGCCATGCCTGCCGCGCCGTCCAGAAGCTGCCGATTCATGTTTTGTCCTCTACCCAGTTGCCGCTAGGTGGCACTGTTGTGTGTCCTGTGTCGCCGCTTCCCATGTGGGCCGTGGCCTTTCCGGTCCCATATGATGAACTGTCTACGACCGATTGTGGTGGCATTGATAATTCCTGATGCTAAACCTGATCCCTGTGCTGAATTGTGAGCCCTCTGGTCCCATAGGACTTATGGTCTCATACATACCTCTGATATCTTTTGGCCTTCTTGTGTCATTTGTCATGTTGTGACACGGCCTCTCGAACTGTCGTGTGACATCTGTTGTTGTTATTACACTCTAGTTGGTCCATATTGTAACCCTTCTGCCGTCATGTAAACCCTCTCGCCATGAGGTGACATCTGTTGATATGTGACAACGTACATGGAACATCAGTTGGTGTTATTTGACCCTCTATTACCAAATTGACCTGTCTGTTGTCATGTAGCCCCTCTCCTCTCATACGAGTCCCCTATGCTGCCATATTTATTCTGACCCTCCCGTTTCCCACAGGGGGACACGGTTCGTCCCGGGATCCTGGTTCTGGTGAATGACGCAGACTGGGAGCTTCTCGGTCAGCTGAGCTACAAACTGCAGCCGGATGACACGGTCGTGTTCATATCAACACTCCACGGCGGGTAGTCGCTTCGCCCGGGATGACAGAAGGTAAAGCTGGCTGCACTTGACTCTTCAGGGCGGTTAGGGTTGTCATCCGTGCTGACAGGTAAATCTGGCCGTATAGCGGCTAGTCTAGCCGTTTGGACTGGTGAGAGCTAGGCTGGTCCCATCAGACACTTCCCTAGTGCGGTTAGCCTAGTCGCCTGGGCTGGCAGAATGCCAGATTGACCGTGCTTGATCTTACTCGTCGCCTAGACGACTCCGCTGACAGGTCAAGACTTATACAGCATCCAACTTCACACAAGGTAACTGGCTTATCCAGCCTGGAAAGTCTCCATGCTGGTCGCATTAAACATCTATGGAGATCTCAATCCTGTCGGTGTTTTCTTGACTGGACAAACGCATTTGGGGAAAACTGGTCGCGGGAAACTTCGGTCGCGCCATAGACATTGGTCAGCCTGGTGCTATGGCATGATGCGTGAGTCGTGACTTGCTCCATTGTCCCGTGATATGTACGGGACGAATGTGTTTTTGGGGTCACAACGCGTCATGTGATTCGTGAGTGCCGATGCTGTGCCGCTTGTTTTACTGTTGTGGTTTTATGTATGGTGTATGCCTAATGTTTTGTTTCTAGAAACTTGTAAAATGATCGAGTAACGCGTCAAATAAATCATTCTCTAGATGATAGCTGTGCTAATATTTATAAAGTTTGCTGTAGTTGTCAACTGAGCTACAACGCTAATTGACTCAAGAACAAATTACCATGTGTATAATTACTAATTAGCCAGCCTGACCCCTTGCGCTGACTCCCCTCTCCGCCAATGTCCCAAAATTTGTCTATTTGGGTGGGAAACGACATCCAAATGAAATTCATTTTCCACTCTCACCACCATTTTTAAGAACAATTTTCCACTCCCAAGTCCCAACCAAGAAAACATAGATTTTTTTACCTATAGAAAGACAGTTGTGTGGATGCCCAGTTAGCATCAAGCATTCTACACCCTAGAATAAAATGCATGCTTTTTATCATTTCTCACTCCTTTTTGATCTAATCGAATCAGCAGTTTTCCACTCTCTCCCCTCTTTTTGGTGGGTAATTTTCCCCTCTGACACCCAAGACAAAACTCAATTTTGGGACACTGCTCTCCGCTTATCTGATCTCTTGCTATTCTTCGAGTCTTGTAGAAGGTTACGTCTCGTCACACGATTTAAGAGCATCTCTTCGTACGGATAAATGTATTCACTGTACATTGTGAAACAGGCTTCAAACAACGCAATCGTACTCTCGAGATCACAGACCAGTGGTTCACAAACCACGGCCGGCGTCAGCCCGTCAGAGGCTCTCAACTTGAACGGGGCAGGGCCTGCGACCATTACTCCCGGCGACCGCACGTTACCATGGCAACCGCGTAACGCCGGCCCGGCTGAACAGCCATGAGCTCGGTCAGCTGTACCGAAAGGTCACGGGGTCACGGTGGCCGCCCGTCACCCCAGGGTTGGCACATCAGAATTCACGGGCCCAGCACGAAGTCGGGCCACCAGTTCTAAGCTAACAGTGGTCGGTGGACCGCCTCACATCACGACAGATTACGTACAAAGTGGTGAATAAAATCAACTTTGTCGGTAAACATGCGAAGTTCATGATAGTAAAATAGAGATAAACCTTAGACCTCTGTAGGCATACGACTGGTAGCAGGTCTACGAGCAGAAAAAAAATCATTTACCGTCTGAGTAAAACAATGTTTTGCATGGAAATTACGAGAATCATGGAGATCACAACTCACAAATATTGTAAGAAATACACTTACGCGAGAAACTTTTCAAGCGTACGATGCCACACTGTCGTTTCGTGAAGCGGTCCACCGACCTCAAGACGAAACACAATCACATACCCTGTTGCTCCATAGCGCTGCAGCGACCGCGAGCAAGTCGGCACCGCAGTTCAGCGGCGAGCAAGGTCACAGCGCTGGGTCAAAGGTTAAACGGTCACCGCATTCAACGCATCGCCAATAAACGCCAAGGTTTAGGCGAACAAACGGTGGCACTGTGTAGAACATAAGACATGCAGGAATGCATTATTTGAGGCGAAGAAGTTAGGCCTCACCGGGAAGAAGCAAGCAATGTAGATTAAAATAATGAGGAATTATCAGACTTCCCTACTGATTGATAATATCCGGCCCAAGGCGTTATCAGTAATGCCCAGATTTGGGCGATTTTCTTGGCACTTCGACTTGGGCATGCTAACGAGCCGAGCCGGCTAGTTACGTTTATGACATCGATTGCACAGTATGTACATACACCCACATACAGACGTACACGCATATATCACAGATCGCCCCTATTTCGCCCTCAGGGGTGCCCGCCATCCCTCAAAATCGCGCGACATCTATGAAACCCTCCTTCGTCGTCTAGATGAAAGCAATGCATAAATCAACTAAAATCGCAAAACCAACCTCACTGTTGGAATGAGATGATCTTAGGCAACATAGATCATCTTCTTTGAGAATGCGTCGTGTAACAAAAATCATCTCCGTTGATGTGTGGTTGTGCTGAGTTTTCTTCTAATCAATGGTACCCCACAATTTCAATTTCCCCTCACTGCCACACGCCACCCCTATCGCATTGCACGTGGCTCGCATGCTACGCCTGCAGCATACACTCATTGGTTCCGGCCCGCTCGGCTGTCGCCTTGATGCGTCTCCACTCTTCCGCAGCCAGCGAGCACGTGACCATCGGCACACCCAGTCGGTGTCTGCCCATCAGAATGTAGTGTCCACGCCCCTCATGGGCGCCACAGTGTCGCGGCACGTGCACACGACCCCTCCACTCCGTCGCCGCCTCAGCGGCCCCCGAGAGCGCGTCCAGAAGCGCCGGGCGGTATCTTTCGCTGATGTGATTGCCCAGATCCCTGGCGGGCGCATCGCCAACTGTTAGTTCCGTCGGCGCCCGAAAGATGTCGTTGGTTTGTCGGATGACGCGATCGGCCCGAACAAAGAGGGCGCTGCGGTCGAGATGTTCGTGGTGCTCGACACTGGTGATGCGGCCTCGGACCACTGCGGAGAAGAGAGAGGGAGGGAGTCAGAACACGGGGTCGAGTGGGTCTGCCGATCACCATAATCATTAGGTGAAGTAGAGAGCAGAGTCAGAACAACGCACGGGGCAGGCAGGGTCACTGGCCACTGGTTATCATAATGAACTGATGGGCAGGGGAGCGGAACAGCTTGGAACAGACAGCATAGATACGAGCAACGACTGGCTACGACTGGCTAATAATGCACACACCATACGGGTATGACGACTTTTACGCCTAGTGACTGACTGCTCATGGCTGGTTTCTAGCACGCATTAGAGAGGCTGGGAGCCGCCGATCGCCACGCTAAGGCCAGCGGTGCTATGTAATTATTGCCCAAACGTCTATCATCAGTCCAAAATGGCCTCGCACGACGCACGACCAGGCTGTCAGGGATCAGAACGCCCATTACCGAACCTGAGCAGTACAGCGTATTTAGTTGGCGGCCACAGCGCCTCGCAACAACCGTACGTGAAATCAAACGTCCTTATAGAAGTGGCCGGGGTGTCTACTGTACTGATTCTGGTAGCCACTGAGCTCATAAACTGCCTATCAAACGCCCTCGCATCAACCAAGCATCAACTGAGGTGTCTATTGTCTACTGATTCTGGTAGATGCAGTAGTTACAGCTGAAGTGCCTTGCGACTTCTGTCCATCGATTCTGGTAGAAACGAAGTTCATAAATTGCCTGTCCCTTTACCGTCCATTCCTAGACCTACCAAGACGAGCCCAGCTGTGGGCGGTCTTATCCCACCCCAAGCCGACCCAGTTCTCACAGCGTTGGATAACCCTATTGACTTCAGGACAGGCTATCAACACAAGTGCAAGGGGCCGACGCCGTAAATCCTTATTCGCGCCGCAGAGCTTGCACCAGTCACTTGCACTAATTATGGGCCAGATGGCACCGTGCATCATGTGAAGAGACAACTGGCAGGGGCGTATCCAGGAACAAAAACAGGTGTTTAGGGCAGTCAATGACTTGCATCTGCTAATGACAGAGAGCAACGGCAAACCATCTGCGGTGAGACTGTTTAGGAAGATGGTGGGGTGGATGCCCCACTAAGTACCGACTCTGACGCCGCCTCTGCGGTACAACGCTGAGCTCAGATGAGATATGAAGCCGGCGGACAACTCACCACAACCCTACCACGTCACTGTCCGTTCTGGGAAGAGGACTGCCGACGGCGGCGAGTATTTTCCCAGAACTAAGGGCGCCCATCTTACCCCATTGCCCTCAAAATTCAGCCACGCCGAGCTCTAACTGCCCTTACGTTCAGCAGACCTACAAGGATGGTCCCTGTCTCGCACCGCATAAAACGCAACAGCTGTCTTGTGCACCGTACAGGAAGGTTCCACCAGGAAAGTTGGGCACCCGTCTAAAAAAGTGCACAGTGGATCCTCGCACCCAGGCCCGGGTAACGGGGGTGATAGCATCTGGACAGTACGCGTGAGCGTCGTATGTAGTTTTCAAGGCTGGGTAGTGGGTACAGCTAGAATATACCCATCTATGTTGAGATACAGGTCACTGACAACCACGAGATCTTCAACCGTGATGAATATTCGCTTATGTTCGATTGAGGATGAACAAATCAGCTTCGCTAGCAAGCTGATACGGAAACTGTAAGAACGAAATGACCATTCCCAATAAGCGATTATGCCTACACTAAGGATGAAGCCTATGCTATCTTATCTAGAGAACAGCAGCAGACAGGCGATTTTATCCTTTTTAGCACCGAGCCGGCGCTGCGCGCATCTCTTACTCTCACGGGGCGCTCGGAAACACCTCATCTTCCTCTTTACGGTACATCATTGACCATGTACGCGAGTGTATGTCCCACATAAACTCAGAGGAAGATAGTAAGGAAATCAATCCATCGAGAGGGAAAGATGACACTGTGCGGAGTTCTCACAGGATGTCATAACAGTATCTACATTCACATCTTATCCTGTACAGTTAAGACCCGTACAAATGCACTCTTTGACCCGACACACCCTAGTCTCACAGTGGCGTAGGTCAAAGCGGCCTGGACGCAGGCACGATCAAAAGGTTTGAAAGTCTAGCAGACATAGAACATTTGAAATGGCATTTAGAGAATCGCAGCTAGACAGGTGGTCGTTAATTTTAATTTACATTTTGTCTCAGGTTATGTTACTATTTAAACGGTGAACATTTTCCTTATGTTCTGCTTTCTCTCCGAAGGTAAAGTTTTTAGATGGCTTAAACGTGACACCAAGATCTCCATATTCACGTGGTACATGCATTCCATAATCTTTTTATGGTAAGGGTTGCACCACGCGCAGACCATAAACACACTATTTTAGGCCCCAGTCTAATCATTTGGTCGCCAATTATCCTAGCTACTCACCGAAGTCGCTGGTGCAGTAGTTCAGCAGAGCCTCCTCATCCGTGCACGGACGACAATCTGAAACGGAAAAAAAACATCGGTCAGAGGTGCGAAAACGAATCAAATATCACTCCACAATAAGCAGTTTAGTTCAGGTTATTTTGATGCCGTCACAGCAAAGATCAGTCCATCCAAACACACTGGGACTATTCAATATAGCGCCTGCGAAACATGCATGGTTCAACGGGGCGAATATTTATGAGGAAGGCAAA